TTACATCCCCGGGCGAGCGGCCAGACACAGGGTGCCAGCGCTGCCGGAGGTGCTAATGAGGCCAAAAATTAAGTGTTGGACCGGGACACATCCCTCTGCCGTGCTGGACACTGGCAGGGATGCTGGTGATGGCATTGGCCTGGAACCCCCTCTCCTCAATATTCCCAGTGCCCAGTGTGAGGCTGGCAAGCCGAGAACGAGAGGCGAGGGAAACAAAACCACCCAAAACACCAGTTTTCTTTACAAAATACACAAAAATTCAAATCCGTGACAATTATATACAAAACAAGGAAGATACAAAACGTGCTGTTTGCACCTAATATAGAAAAGTGTCCTGTGCTGGCTGGAGCAGGCACCGGCTCGCGAGGCTGCCGGCCCCCACGGTGTGTGTCCCCCCACCCCTCGACCCGAGTCTTGTCGCCGGACATCCCGTGCCCACGGCGTTTCTCCTGCGCCGGCAACGCCGCTGCGGCTATTTGGGAGCTGCCAGGGGAGAGGATGTGGGGGTCAAGGGGGGGTTCCAAGCCCTCAGAGCTCCCCTGTGAGTGCTTGAGGGTGCCTGGGAGGTGGGCTCAGCCATGCTGCCCCTTACCCGTCACCGTCTTCTCGGGCGCCGCATCCTCCTCCACCTCTTCTTCCTCCCCATCGAAGTACTCCTCGTCTGCCTCGGCTGCAAACAGGCGGTCAAATGTCACCGCAGGGCCACCGGGAAAGGAAGTGGGTGCCACCAGCTCGGTGGGAGCTGGTGAAGGGGCACCAGGGTGTCAGGGGATGAATTACCGGGTTCGAAGTCCAAGGCGCGCACCGCCTCGGCGAGGTGGTCCAGGCTCACCGAGAAGGCGTCCATGCTCTCGTAGCCGTGCTCGATCTTCTCCAGCCTGCCGCCCTTGGAGGCCTCCACGATCCTGGGCAGGGAGAGCACAGCTATGTCCCCCCACTGTCCCCTCACGGGGCTGGAGGCCCGCAGGGTGCCAGGGTGGGGGGTTAGGGCATCACCACTTGGGTGCCCCGTGGCTGAATCCTGCCCGGCTGCCGGACAGGGGCTGAGATGGCCAAATTTTCCCCAGTTTGGGCACTTACGTTTTAATAAGCTGCTTGGCTTTCTGTGGGGAGAAAGAGGAGAGGTGAGTGGAGCCATATGGCAGCCGCTGGGATGTCCCTGAGCCGGTGGGACCCCATGTGGGCACCGGCAGGGGTAGGGTTTGAGGGTCTCACCATGAGGAAGGTGGCCCCCCCGGTCTCCTCCATCGCCTGGATGGCCGTCTCCACCAGCTGGCTCGACTTCTCCAGCTGCTCCTTGTACTGGCGGAAAATACTGGCGGATGAGGCCCTGGACGAAGCCGGTCTTGTCGCCCTCCTCGCAGGAGATGCGCTGCAGCAGCTCCGACTTCTTCTCCTCCAGCAGCGCTGCCAAGGCATCGAAGCGAGCGCACAGCTCCCGCTTGGCCGCCTCGCTGTTCTCCTGCGGGGACGAGGGGCAAGGGATGCCACGCGTGCGGTCCCTCGGCACCAGCAGCATCCCAGGGGCTTCCCTGCTCCGTGGGCTCCAGCTCCCTCCCATCCGAAATGTCCCCCTGGCTGAGGTTTCACCCCTGGGTTTCAGAGGATTCCTGTTCTCCTTTTCCTCACCTCGGTACTCCGGCACGAGTCCTCCAGCTGGGAGATGATTGTCTGGATCCGGTCATTCCCCGCCACCAGCATGGAAATGCAGTTGTTCAGCTCGGTCTGGGCAGGGGTGGGTGGACAGAAAGAGCTTGAACCCCAGCGGGGACAGGGACTTCTCC